TCAAGATCGATAAAAAAACGACCAAGGAGCCAATCCTCCCCATTCCTCCCTTGTTTATCCCCCACCCAAACCCAGCCATAGAATCATAGAATCATAGAATCGTCTAGGTTGGAAAAGACCTTTAAGATCATCAAGTCCCACCAAGGGGGATCAGCGCTTTGCTGGACTGATGCCATGCTGGCTTCCATCACCCTGCTTTTGGCTCAGGATAGCAATCCAACAGTGTGGAAGTGAAGGAATTGGTGCATGGAAATCTGTAACGAAGGGACATCAGACCTACACTTACACACAGCATTGGGCTCTGAGCAACCTGATCTAGGTAGCGGTGTCCCTGCTCCCTGCAGGGGGGTTGGACTAGATGGCCTCTAGGGGTCCCTTCCAGCCCAAAACATTCTATGATTCTCGGTGGTGGCTCGAGGAGAAGCAGATCCTGTTTGTTAAAACCTGTTTGGAATAATTGGTTCTAGAATGCAAGAATATCCAACAAGTATTTCAGATTCGTAGGTTCTCTTGTACATGACTAAGAGTTTAAGCTCTAAACCGACTATATTTTTACATGAGAAATACATCCACAGAGCATGTATTATGAAACAACATTTTATCTTTTGCTTTTCTTGCTGAACAAACGACTTGGCAAAATAACTTGATTTAAGCAGTTTAAGCCCTGCTCACCTATTTTGTTCCACTTGCAAAAATTCAGAAGCTCAACTCCACCTTTTTCATCATTCAACGGCCACACTTCTGAGCTGAATAGCCCCGAGTATATGATCACTAATAAAATGCTGCAGAGTAGTACCTCAGGAGCATCTGCAGGTGTAACAGTATAATTTAATATTGTCAAAGTTCTTCATAAGTATTTACTTATAAGAGTTCTACAGAATCCAGCATTTTCAGATTTAGTCTGTCCAACAAAATATGCTGAGTAAAGTTCACCAGAATTCGATGACAGAAATTCTTAAAGCGTTTCAATTTCCTTAAAGATTGTAGAAGTCTCCTTTGATCTGCTGCATTGCTTTGCAAATGTCGTTATTCTTTGGAGAGCTTCTGACAAACCTTCTCCTGTGAGAGCACAGCAGGGTTGTACGTACCAATTTCTGTCACTGCAGTACTTCTTCATGTTGAATCTCCTGGTTATTTCCTCAGCATTCAAAGCTCCAGGCAAATCCTGCTTGTTTGCCAGCACGACGACTGGGACGTTTTTTATAAATTCATTCTTTAAAATGAGTTCAAATTCCTTCTTTGATTCTTCCAAACGCCGCTTATCAGAACTATCTACAACATACAGCAGCCCATCTGCATTTTCCAGGAAATTGCACCAAACCTCCCTCATCTTCTGTTGTCCTCCAACATCCCAAAACGTCAGTGTAAAATCTTTCCCGGTGTCAATCATATCAACATTAAAGCCAATTGTTGGAATTGTTAGAAAAACATCGTTACACCTGAACTTGTACAACAGTGTAGATTTTCCCGCAGAATCAAGTCCTAACATCGGTATGTTAGCTTGCTTGACTCTGGAGTGTTTGGTGCTCTGGAGGCCCATTTGTGCCGTGGCGTTCTCCGGTCAGCCTTTAAAGCTGGAATTCACCGCCTTCCGTGAAGCCAATTTTTGTCAGTAAAATGTGGGTCTTCCCCCGTGAGATGAGGTACAGAGATTAAGGAAGAGGAAGAAGCAGCTCTGCGCTACGAAGAGTAAATACAAGCTCTGTACAAATACATGCTGGCTGTTATCAACTCGATAATACGCAAACAGTATTTATGGAGGTGTAATGTTCAGTGCCAAGCCTGTGGGTGGAACAGCTATGAGTAACGTACCAGGTGGTCACAAGCGCAAAGGTTACAGGCTTCGAACGTGTTTGAACAAACCACACTTACATGACCATTTAAAAACTCTTTACATTGTCAAATTGTGCGTACTGAGCCGGCAGCAGCCTGGTTATACTGCTTAATCCCATGGCCAGGGAACCGCTAGCTGTCTGCCCTGTTTCAGTGTGTGCCCAGAGATCACAGAATCATACAATCACAGAATCATTTGGTTGGAAAAGACCTTTAAGATCATCGAGGCCAACCATAACCTGCCCGACCCCCCCCGTCTCCCTCCTCCTCTCAGGCAGTTGTAGGGAGCGATGAGGGCTCCCCTCAGCCTCCTCTGCTCCAGGCTGAACCCCCCCAGCTCCCCCAGCCGCTCCCCAGCAGCCTGGGGCTCCAGACCCCTCCCCAGCTTTGTTGCCCTTCTCCGGACACGCTCCAGCCCCTCCATGTCCTTCTGGGAGGGAGGGGCCCAACCCTGACCCCAGCATTCAAGGGGCGGCCTCCCCAGTGCCCAGGACAGGGGGACGATCACTGCCCTGTTCCTGCTGGCCACACCGATCCTGATACAAGCCAGGATGCCATTGGCCCTCTTGGCCACCTGGGCACACTAGGAGGTGCACATAAATCGATGAATCCCTTTATTACTGCATCCACATCCATTTTGGAAAACAAGCAAAATATAAACACAGCCAGTGAGGAGGGGAAACCTTAATCCACATTTATCAATCCACGAGATGACAAGGTCCCAGGTTTATCGGTGCATCTCATCTCCCAGCACCAAATTAATCTCAAGAGGTTTCTAATGTGAGTCTACATGGGTACATCAAACCAGAAGGGACCTCTACTTAAAAATGTGCTCTGTACTACGTGGCTGCCTCAGACTCCCCCAGTTACTCCTCCTGCCCGCTCGTGCGTGGAGTCGTCTGCTCTGACTGCCGCTGGCTGAGTTGTAAACTCAGTGAGTTATGTGCGTATGAACAAGTTTAACTGCGCTCTGCGAAGCGGAGACTAAATATAGATCTTACGATCTGGTCATTACCGAGATTCAGCTGCATGGCATGAAAAATTTCTGTTGGCTTCATTGTGCTCTGCCCACTGATCTACGATCAAGATTTCCTTCAGGAAAGGAACAAGAAGGGGAGAAACAACCGAGTCTCGACCAAAAGATCTTTTTTTTTTTTGCCAGCATTCAAATGAGCAGAATAAAAAAAAAGAGGAGATAGTAAATTTAGTATTATTTAACTCATACTGAGTCTCTGGTTTTTTTGACAGTAGACCTCCGCCAGGCTGGTCCACTGCCTACCGAGCACCGCAACACTTACCTGCCCGCACACCCAGGGGCACTGCTGTTGGTTATGACCATTTGCCTGTGCTGCAGAAAGTACATCATCAGCGAAAAGATGTAAAGGTCTTCTGGCCAAACGAGCTGCTGACTGATAGGGCGCTCATTTGGATAATTACGACATCGATTGCTCAGATATTACACACGTTGCATAAAATAAACTTCAGTCTTGACAGACAAGATACAATCTGGTTTATCTTGAAGCTAAAAGCGTTATAGCAGAGCTAATTGGGGGCAACAAAAGATGACGGCAACATCCTCGCTGTTGTACATTTTTCACATGTAATAACACGTATACATTCCGTGTAGGGTATTTCTCAGGAGCAGGTCACGATGGATTGAACCAGGGAAGAAAACGTTTGCATTTCTTTATAAATAATGTATTTGAATGAGTCGAAAGACGGGGAGACGGAAAACTACGCAAAACACATAGTTAACACGGTCAAATGAATCACAGTCCCCCGCGAAATGGCACGCCGTTTTCCTTCAAATACGGTTATCTCCATCAAGGGCAAAGCCTCCCTCCTGCGCGATGGGCAGCCCGTGTCCCTGGCAGCGCTGTGATTTAAGGGTTACTCGCAGCTCTCTGCTCTATGTGTTTGCTCCAGCCGTGTTCGATATTTATGGTCTCGACTGTTTTTTGATTACCTCAGACTTATCACGTCAAAGCCGTGATTAAGCAATGTCTGACTTTTTACAAGCGAATTAAATTTATTTCCAGGACGGAGCAGCTAGCTTCTGAAGGCTCCACGGTTTTGCAGTTTTTAACTGAACCTGAGCCAAACGTGAGAATCGGAGCAAGATTTTGTGATGCGGAGCCACTTCCAGCAACGATTTCCTGCCTTACTTCGGAATCTATGCACCCGCATGAGACTAAAACAGAGCTGTGGTCAGCCGCATCAGACACAGCGCGATGCAGCCTTTTGCTCGCAGGTTCTGTATCTTCATTTGCACCGAAAGGTGGCTGTTCGAAGGAATGAGAAATCTACCTTTGATTTGCCCAAAGCTCTATTTGCCTTGCCGGGGTGAGCCTGTCTTGCTTGGAGGGCTTGCCTAGATCTTCGCTTCAAAACACCCGGAGTTAATAGAACAAAACGGGGGCGGCCGATTTACCATCAATTCATCTGAACTCCAACTTAGCACAACAAACCTTTCCTAAACGATGTAGCTTTATGTAAACTATGTAGGTTCCCACGTTGTCAGAGCAGGATATTCCGCCAGGGCTGCCTGCTTTTGTACAGCAGTACCAAATATAATCATTAATGGAGTAGTTTAGGGGGGCTCGGCGGTGAATCCTCACCACGATCGAGTCTGGTAGCTGAAGCAAGATTGGAAAGCGCCAGCCTCTTCTTCCCTGGCACCCCCGAACCTGACATCAAACCACCCTGGGGCTTTCAGGAGGAGGAAGAACCAGCTGCAGCCCTACCAGAACTACCAGGAGCAAGCCCGGCGCCGGGCCGCGCTGCGGGGGGAGGCAGACAACGCCATTCGCGG